CCCCTCTTGGGCTCTTGCAGATTTAGATTAAGCTTAATATAAAGGACACCGGCCAAGCTGCCATAAAATTTCAAAATTAAAAAATAAATATTTTAAGAAATTAGGGAATCTCAATGCATTGATGCTGGGCAAGGGACATGGTAGGCCTGGGTGTGGCTGGCTGCCGTCCAGGGATAAAAGAGTTGTTTGATTTTTGTACTTTTTGCATTGATTTTTTGGCTTTTGAGTCTTTTCTTTCTGGCCTGAATTAAAGAATAACGATGGTCAACAAACGTGATTTCTAAACTGTAAACTCGTGGAAAACAAAAATAAGGATACTTGTACAAAATGCTTACCATTGTTGGAAAATCCCCCTGTCTGTTTTAATATCGTGAAACGCGTAGTAGTGGCAATTTCTTACGCTTTAATAAGCTCCTCTGCTCTTTTTTCGTCCTTTACGTACTCCGAATAAAGATCGAAAGCGACTGAGAATAAAGATGCCCACGGCGTATGGGCTGTTTCTTCTCCCGCCATTGTCCTTCCCAGAGAACAATTCTCCCAGAAAATTTTAGATTTCGCTGCAAATGTTAACACCTAATTGTTTAAGTAGAACTTTACTAATAATTTTCCGAACTTTTCAAACTTTTTAAGCTGAAAGTCGAAAATGCTGAAATACAACTGTTTGAGACCCTAAGGACAGCAAACACACTCTTGCTCAATTTATTTTATTTAGGCTTCTTTTCAATTTTAATTTTATTTTTTAATTTTTTTTTCCAGAATCACAGCAGAGATCCGGTTCGGTTACGGTCGATGTTAGATATTATTATCCAATTGTGCTATAAGTATAAGATATGTGTATTTGGTGGCGTGTCGACACTAAAGAACATCGACCGAAACCAGCCTTAGCTAAGTTCCCAGGAACGACCACAAGCCACGTAATTCGGCGCAATACTGCTGAATCTATGGTAGATTTAACAGTTTTTAGTATTATAAACTGTTAATGTAAACCTTAAAACACTTGATAATAACTCGGAGCAATTGATATCTCTTGAACGTAAGACCTATGTCAAATACCTAGGTGTTCTAATTGATGGTAATCTCTCCTGGAAGCACCATATTAACTAAATTTCCACGAAAATAAGCAAAGGCATCGGTATTATTTCAAGGCTAAGACACTTGGTACCGCTCACTACTCTTATAAACATTTACCGCTCGCCCATTGAACCGTATATTTCGTATGGTCTCGTTGCTTGGGGCCAAGCCGCGAATACTCATCTAAAGAAACTCGTCATTTTACAAAAGCGGATTCTTCGTATAATCTATTTTTCCGATTAATCCTATCACAGTGCTCCTCTTTTTAGTCGTTCGGGAATTCTACCGATAAAAATGCTTTACTTCAAATTGGTTGCCTCTCTGTTACACGACATCAAAACTCACTGTGCTCCTCCCCAATATTTCTGAACTTTTTACTCACTCTGAACTGGTTCATTCTTGCTCTACTCGTTTCTCGGTAGCTGGAAGCTTTTTTTAAAACAGGCGAGAACAAATCATGAGTCGCTTTCCTTTTCTAGAGTTGGTGCGAAATTATGGAATGGCATCCCCCCTGAACTTCGTAAACTAAGGAAAGCACCCTTTAAACGTAAGCTAACTCACCTGCTTTTGAAAATTCTTGAAATTGAGGAGATGAATGTTGACTTGCGCTACCTTGACCTTTCTTGTTTATATTTGTATTTCAACTGATTAGCTTTCTCTTTGACCTGTTAAAAACTCCCTTGTGTGACTGGCTCAGTTAAAACCTTTAACATGATTATCACTACTATTAATTATTATTTATTTTTATTTGCTCATTTATTTATTTATTTCATTGTTGCGTGTGTGTGTGCGTGTGTGCGTGTG